CTCTCTCTCTCTCACTCTCTGTTAAACTTCTGTTAAACTCCCATTCTTTTAACTTTCTCCTCCCTAAAGAGGGACTGAACCTACTAGAACACCTTCCTTCCTCCCTCCATGCCCCTCAGCCCTTCACCCACCCCCAGGAACCAAACAGTCCGCAGTGACTGGCAAGTTGTTGGGTGTGTAATTAGTCTGTTGTCGTTCATGGACGTGTCACAGGTAGAGCCAACCACTGCAGATACTCACGCCTGCTTGTTCCAGGAAGCACACACACACAGCCAGGACCTCAGTCGCTCACGCTGCGGGGGCCGCGCTCCTGCTCAGGCTGGAAAAGATGTCCTCGTTCTTTTGAGTGGAGGAAAAGACTCGATGGACGCCAAGCCCGATGTAGTCAGATACATTTGAGAAGTTTCTTTAAGTAGATGGCTTATACACAGCTATTAAGGAATAAACTCTCTAGCCTACTATATTAAGCAGGGATTGGCTAATTACTTTTTAAGTATAACTTATTTTTTAATCTTGCTCATCATTTATTTTTTGACTGATTGTTTTTTTCTGCTGCTTTTAGTGATGCATATACTCATGCCGTAAGTACCTGAATTTTACATTTGTCTTTGCAAAATGTCATAACATATTTGTTAGGTATGACAAGCTTGGTTTTCAGGCCAGCCAGATTCCAGGCCAAAATATTATATATTGAAGGAGACATCAATAAAGAACTCATCTGGAACACTATTGGTGTAGACCAGGGGTCAGCAAATGTTTGAGACAGAAGAGCCAATCTGGTCTTTCACAACAATCCTAAAAGTATTCAAGAGCCATAATTTTATTTTTACAAGCCAATGAAAGCACCATTATCTGAATAATATCCTTTAAATAAAACTCTGATAGTTTTATTTTCATCTTCGATTTTACTTCAGAGCCATATGTATGTATGTTCCAAAAGAGCTTCAGATGGCTCTGCAGTCACAGTTCGCCAACCCCTGGTATGGACCAAACTTTACTATCTTCATCCCCCCATATGCAGCCAAGCTGCCATGGCTGATACACATTTGTCACAGATAAAAGGAACTGAAGTATTCCTATGGACTTAGAGCTAAAACATCACCTTTTATGAGCAGAGGAAAGGACAGCTTTCCCCAGGTTGTGAGCTTCGAGGTCCTGGCAGTAGTTCAGATCTTCGTTGTGGATGAGGTTGCCTGGGTGTATAATTGATTCTTGTTGTTCAGCAGAGCGGCCCGACTCAGCAGCTTCTCCCTGCTCAACTCAGGCACCCCGCTGGCATTCTCGGAGTCCTGCAACCATCCTTACTCTGCAGCTAACTGGCTCTGCCCCCGTTAACATAAGCTCCTCCCAGCCTTTCGTTTTTTGTCTGTTGTCAGATTAATACCACACAGATTTTTGAAAACACACTGTGGCATGTCTTAGTCCTGTAGCCATAATTTGGCAAGATAGATTGACACAGTGGCCGCAACCATGGGCTCAGATATAAGAACTGTTGGGAGGCTAGCACAGGACCGAGCAGTGTTTTGCTGTGTTGTACATCGGGTCACTATGATTGGCACCAACCCTCGGTGGCACCTGACAACAACGTGTATAGCCATGTATATATTCCTGAGCATGGGAAGCTTGACCACTGAAGACAGTGGTATATGTACAGCCCCGTACAGGGTGGACAGAGAGGAATGGTCGCAGTGAGGATGAATGCATGTGTGCCAACTCATCTACTCAGATGTGTGTGGGCGCGGGCGCAGCCTCAAAACGAAAGGTGTGTTGATTGAGTGACATAGCTATTTCAAAGGAAGAAAACACGCTGAATTCTAGATCAATTGTTGCTGAAAAGCCTCTTTGAACTTCCCTGGCAATCCATCTTGGTTTATTTTAATGAACAGTCATCCTATAGGCTTCAGACTCACGACTTCTTTGAGTCTGGTGCTTTCATTTGGTTTACTTGTCTCGGAAATGCGTGTTGTTTGCACCTTTTTAGCTCTGGGCCTTACAAAAAATGCAATGCTTTCCTGTTAACCTAAGTGAAGCTGGGATGGACAGAAAGGTCCTTAATCAACACAAGTTTCAGTTTCGCATAGAACCTGAGTGCTTACTCGTAGAGACTTGCTCTTGCTAGTTACCTGAACCCACAGTCTGGATGTTTCTTCGTAATGAGTTCTCTTTGTCCCCTTTCTCCCACTCACCAGCTCCCTGTCCCGCCAGAGAACATCAACAATGAAAAACTATTTTCGTTGGTGTTTTTGACTTACAAAATGCACATTTAGGTGCAATTGTTAATGCTGCATTGAATAGCAAGGAAAACAGCCACTGGAAAATCAACAGTCAATGCTTCACCTCACACCAACACCCAAGATCGGTTCCAAGTGAAATAGAACAGTAACCAAATCAACCGCTGAAAAGCAGCCCAATTCCTAGCCACTATGCAACCAGGGGGCCTGCCTTAAGTGAGTTTTAAAACAATCACTTGTGATAGCCTGTTGGTAAGACCAGCTTTAGGAGATGGATTTGGGGAAGCACTATCAGGAATTCAAGACCCCACTGAAAATGGCCCTCCGGTTAAGTGTTTGGGTAAGGGGCTGGCGGAGTCCTAACCTTAACAAAGCTGCCCTGTATGAAGGGAGGGAGGTCACGGACTGTCTGCTCAGCAGCCCCAGTTAGTTCTAGCAGGAACAAAACTGTGAAAAATTGTGAAGTGAGAGTTGTCCGCTCTGGACAGAAGTGCTTTTCTGAAAGAAATGAGATCTGAAAACTTTGTAAGTGGAAAGCTACCTTGTCCATTCTCTTTTAAAAACCATTTTTAAATGCACAAGTCATTTTCGGTCATTGTAGCAAAATTTGAAGGCCAAATAAAAGA